TCCAAATTATATGTATTTAGTAAGGAGTATATTTTCCCAATAGTCCCTCAGGAACCTGAAAGAGGGAGTTGGGTGGCTGGGATGGGAAGTGAATAAATGATGTTGATATAAGACTACAGAGCTGCAAAAATCTAAAAAGAATGAGAATTAGGAATGTTAAATTTAAGCATTAATTGATCAAAGGATGCAAAAGTATTATCAATGAATAGATTCTCTATTGTGGCAACTCCTCTATTAACCCATTCATGAAAAGCACTGTCTATAATTGATGGCATGAACTGGTGATTTTTTATTATAGGAGCACAAGTGGGCAGATCCCTGAGAGAAAAAGCTCGTCTGAACTGTGTCAGAATTCTAAAAGAGTGTTTCACAATTGGATTTAAGGTGAGTTTAGATACAGATTCCAAAAGAGGAGGTTTTGAGCAGAATAGTGAGTGTAAAGAATAATGAAGACAAGAGGACCATTCATAACCACTCGTGGGTAGTGTCACCAGATGCAGAATCTTTCCAAAACAGCATAGATCTAATGTTGGCAGCCCAATAGTAAAATTGGAAGTTAGGGAGGGATAATCCTCCATGCTGACGATGCTGTTGTAAGATCCTTTTCCGTAATCAAGGGTTTTTCTTATTCCATATAAATCTCGACACCAAATTGTCCACTGACATAAAAGAGGATTTAGATAAGTGTAGGGGAATGCATTGAAATATATAAAGAAATTTTGGCAAAACATTAATTTTAATTATGTTAATTCTGCCTCCTAGTGACAGGGGGAGTAAACTCCAATGTTCCAAATCTTGCTTAAGGTGGGTTAAAAGTGGTGAAAAGTTAGCTTTGAATATATCTTTAAAGGCATGTGTTATCCAGATTCCTAAGTATTTAAGTTTCTGTAGACTGACTTTAAGTGGGAATAAACCAAAGTCAATTTGCTTAGCTGCTGTGTTCACTGGCATAATTTCACACTTTTGTAGATTAATTTTGTATCCCGATATTTTGCCGAATTCCTCAAGCAGGTTCAGGGTATTTGGTAGACTAGTTAAAGGATGGGACAGTTATAAAAGCATATCATCAGCATACAGGGACATCTTATTATCAGAGTCATATCTCCGTATTCCCTTTATATTAGCTTCACCACGTAACACTAAAGCCAATGGCTCGATCGCAATAGCGAATAGGAGGGGCAACAGTGGACAGCCCTGTCTGGTGCCACGATGGAGAGGGAAGTAAGAAGAGAGGTTGTTGTTTGTTCGGACAGCTGCTAAAGGAGAAGAATACAGAATTTTAATCCAGGAGATGAATTTTTCACCAAAGCCAAATTATTTTTGAGTATGGAAGAGATAATCCCACTCCACCCGATCAAATGCCTTCTCAGCGTCCAGTGATAGTAATATTTCTGGAATGTCAGGTGGAGTGGGACCATAAAGAATATTAAATAGGCGTCTAATGTGAAAAAAGGAGTGACGACCTTTAATAAAGCCTGTTTGATCGTCAGCTACAATTGAGGGCAAGACCGCCTCTAAGTGGCAGGCCAGCAGTTTAGAAAGGATTTTACTGTCTACATTTAAGAGTGAAACTGGACGGAATGAGCCGCAATCCAGAAGGTTTTTACCTTTTTTAGGAATAAGAGATATGACCGCTTGTCGCATAGTCAGAGGAAGGGAACCAGTGGCATGTGACTCCTCAAATACAGAGAGCAGGATAGGAGAAAGGTGGTCTGCAAATTTTTTAAAGAATTCACTCGGGAACCCATCGGGTCCTGGGGATTTTCCAGTTTGCATGGACTTGATTGCATTAATAAGTTCCTCTACAGAAAATGGTTTGTCTAGTTCAGATGCAGTTCTGTTATCAATTATGGGGACGTTTATTTTCCTGAAAAATGAATCAAATAAAGTGTGGTTGCCAAGGGATTCACTATCATACAGTTGAGTAAAATCTATGAAAACATGAATTAATCTCAGAATGATCTATATGCTTAGTGTCCGATTCATCATTTATCTCAGCTCTAGTCCTAGCCACGGTTTTCTGGTGGAGCTGATGGGCAAGAATCTTCCCTGTCTTTTCACCGCATTCGTATGCTTCACTCTGTGATTTATTTATTAGGTTTTCAATGCGTCTTGTTGATAGCATGTTGAACTCTGTTTGAAGAGTTAATCGCAGTTTGAATAAATCATTGGATGGGGTGACAGCAAGTGTAGTATCTAATTTGAGAATATCATTTGTTAGCTGTTCAAGTTTCATATTGTGACGTTTTCTTTGTTGTGTGCTATATGATATTATTTGTCCCCTCAAGTACGCCTTCACGGATTCCCACACTGTTAAAGGAGACATTCCTGGGGTCTGGTTATATTCGAGGAAGAAAATTATGTCAGAAGAATTAAACTTAATGAAGTATTCATCTGAAAGTAGGGGTGATAGTTGGCATGAGAAATTGGTATACATAACGTCATCGACAAAGGGGCGTGATCTGAAATACTTATAGCTTGACATTCACACTTTCTTATTAGTGAAAGAAGGCTATCCAAAAAGAAATAGTCTATGCGGGAGTATATTCCGTGGATGGGAGAAAAGAAGGAGTAACTTCTAGCTGTAGGATTTTGAAAGCGCCACGCATCAGCTATACCATTCGTATTAAGAAAAAGCTGCAGTTGAGAGGCTGCACTGGATTTGGACGCAGTCCTAGACAAGCTACGGTCCAGAGTAGGTGATAATGTGCAGTTCATATCTACTCCGAGGATAAGATAATATGTATCCATGTTGGGGATATGAGCAAAGAAATTTATAAAAAAAGAACTATCATCCCAATATGGTGCGTATACATTGGCCAGGACAACCGGTGTGTTGTACAGCCTGCCCACTACAATTATGTAACGCCCTGAGGAGTCTGTTTCAACCTTTGACCTAACAAATGGGATATTCTTATTAACAAGGATGGCCACACCTCTAGATTTGGAATGGAAATTAGAATGATATGATTGTCCAATCCATCCTCCCCTAAGTCGAAAATGGTCAAAGGTTCGGAGATGTGTCTCCTGAAGAAAGGCAATTCCCGTCTATAATTTACTAAAATGAGTCAATACTTTCTTTCGTTTGATGGGGTGGGTCAAGGATTTTACATTCCAGCTTACAAAGTTTACATCGTAATTAGCTGATCTGTTTGAGAAATCTGTGTTAGTCGTAGCCATATTCAAGGCAGAGAAAGATTAGTGGTGTATTACGTCTGCCTGCATTTATACTTTCTAGAATGTTGAAAGGACCTTTAAAAGAGAAGTAAGTATGAACAATGAACCAAGGAAAAATAAGGCTGATTGTAAACCCAGGTACAGTAAATCCCAAACACTCAGCTGTCAGAACAAGGTGACTCCCAAACCCCTCGCAAAGATATCTACACATTTAAGTGCTTGTGTGAGGATACAATAGCATTAAAGGAACAAACTCTGCTGTATATAAAATGTAGTTTTGTATGAGGCACCTTGGAGAACAACGGATTAAACATTTCAAACTTAAAGTTTTTTTTTGTTTGTTTTTTTGTAAACAAAAATGATTTCTTCTGTTATCTAAGCGTTGAGCATAGATAGAAAGGGAAATAACAATAATAAGGGAGACACACTACAATACTTTATAACAAAATAAAAGAGAAAAAAAACAGCACAGTTTTGATTCCTTAGGTTCTCTCTATTTCTCCATCTGGAACAGTCTGGAGTCTTATGGCTCTGTAGCGCTGTACAGTGTATCTGTCAAAGTGACAACCTTATTCAGATGTAAAACTTAGCTATTCTCACTCATTTCAAGTCATGGTCAGTCTTTTGAAGAGTCCGATAGAATTCTGGTTTTCACGTAGGCCATGGCTTCCTCTTGGTTTTGAAACCGTTTCTCAGTTCCGTTATATGTGCTCTGGAGCCGTGCTGGGTAGAGAAGGCCGTATTTAACACCGTCTCGTCCACGAAGTAGTCGTCTCACCTCGCTGAAAGCTGATCTGGCCTGCACAACACTCAGGGGATAGTCCGGGAAAATGTAGATGTCGGTCCCTTTGAACCAGAGCGGCCGGAACTCCCTGGCAAGGCAAAGGATATCAACACAATCTTGGTAATAGTGGACTTTCGCCACAATGACACAAGGTTTACCATCTTGGCTCCACGGCTGTAGACCCCTGTGAGACCAGTCGATCAGGACGTCTTTGTCCATTTTCAGTACCTCTCTTAATAGTTTGGAGACAGCTGTCGATGTGTTTGAGCCTGGGGTCTCTGGGACGTTTAATATTCAGATGTTGGAGCGCCTCATTCTTCCTTCCATATCAAGACATTTCTCCCGCAGATTGCCGACTTCTGTCTCGAGTTTCCCCACTTTCGTTAACAACGAAGTTACGTCGTCTGAACATGGTGAAAGGCCCTGCTCCATGTGCAACACTGTTATTTTCATCATCTCCACCTTGGAGCGAATCGCTGTGATGTTCTTTGCTAGCTCCGTTTTTACTGCGTGTAGCTCGGATTTGATGTTTTCAAAATCTTCAGCCAGAGCGGTCTTCAGTTCCGACCTGAGCAGCATAGCAATGTCTGTTTTCAGCAATGTGAGGATTTCTGCCTTCAGGTCCGCGACATCCATTTGGTCATCAGGCTGAGGTGTCTTAGTGCTACACCTGGGTGGTGAATCATATGAGCTTGAGGCTTTGGGCCCAGTTGCAGAGGCTCCTCCGGTGAACTTGAAGTTTCGCAAATTATTGGCCATTTGCGCTGCGGTATTGCAATAAAAATAACATATAATGAAAAAGAATTAACTCAGAGCGATGTGTTGTAGTTTTTTGTTGATATAAGGTGCCTAAGAAGAGCTTTTAACCCGAAATTCAGCAGAGCATGTTGCTTGTGTTGCCTACTCCATCGCCTGCTCACTAGCGCCCCCCCCCCGTTACAATTTCTTTTAATGTTGGGTCACCAGGATGTCCAAAAGTGAGTTTGACATCTGCTGTGTGTCTTCTTGTCCCCATGCAATGGCTCTAATCACCCACCAGATCCGTCCACATCAAGCACCTTCCTGGATGTGTCTGAGGAGAGCAGAAAGGAGAGTGTGGATGAAGAGGATCAGCTGTGTCCTGATGATCCAGAGAGGCTGAAGCAGCAACAGCAGCCTCTGTGTGGAGAGGCTCTGAATCCTGTCAGTGTTTAACTTTAACATTTTTATTCATCTGTCAGTGATCAGACTCTGGTTCGTTAGTTTTACCCCCTCCAGGGTGGAATATTTCTGACCTTCTAAATTCTACTAATATATAACTACCAGCTGCTGTCCAACGTAGTCCTGCAGGCTTTACGTAGAGTAGAAAGTGAAGCAGTGAGGATCCTGTCACCTACAGCCAGTTTCTGCTCCCATCTCAATGTCTTCTAATTAACTCTCCAGTCCAGTTTCATTAACTAAGTTTGTACCCTTTTCACTTTTAGGACAAGTTAAGTTTCAGACCTGAACTGCTGACTGAGTCTGGAAAGAGTTCATACAGGTAACCAGATCATAAAATGCAGAATATGTTACCGGCACCAGACCTAGGGGAAATCTGGACCAGCAGCAAGGGTTACACAGGCTAGGGAGCACTGTGTAGCCAATACATAAACTGTGGATTGACAGAGAGATGACGAAAGTTAGCGTCTTGCTCATGCCAGAGCTTGTTTATTTCTGAGCTGCGCATGTGCAGAGCTTGTAGCTACAGTCTCCCTAATGGATCCACAGCAGCACTAGAGCACCACCTGCTGGCGTAATACTGTACTACCTTCAGTGTTAGAATGACTCAATTATTACAAAAATAGAGGGGGTGTCTGCTAAACACAACTTAACATATGGTGTTTTCCAACCCATTACAAATACTTCGACATCATCAACTCCTTTAATAAAAGTTCAGTTTAGCTCCTTTCAGTGCTGAAGGTAATCAACCCTTCTGTGTCCTACAGGTTCAGGTGTCCTGGTCCAGGTGTGTTTCATTGTACTGTGACTGGACTGGTGTTTGTTGTGGCTCAGGAGGCAGAGCTGCTGTACAGGACTGTCCAATGGGATGAGAGCCTCCTCCAATCAGCTGGCAAGATGGCTGCAGGGCTGCTGTTTGATATCAAGTGTTCAAAGGATGCTGCTCTCTGTCAGCTCCACCTCCCACACTGTGAAATTGTGGATGGTAAGGACATTATTGTTCTTTGTGGAGAGTTTTGTTGATAAAACTGTAAATACATGTTAGCGCCCCCTACATGCTACAGAATCCAGCCACAGTCTGAACAAACAGCATCCTGATGATTTATCTGTAGTTATGCTACATTCCCACCAAAGGGGAAGCAAGTATTTGTCTTGCGTTACGTTAGGGTAATTTATATTTTAAGTTACTTATGACAAATCCACTTTAAGAATAGTTTAAAAATAAACCCCAAGCTTTCCTCTTGCCAGTAATCGACATTTTTTTCGCCTCTGTGGGACTGCAGCATTAGAATCTGAACAGCAGGGAGTGTACTGTTTAGCCATGATTGTGTGTGACCAGGTGAGCCGCCATTGTTTTCAGCTACGGATGAGTCAAAAACGTGCAGCCAATGAGTGTAGATAAACTTTCTGTACGTCACATCTGCTGGCTCTCGCTGGCTCCGTGTCACTGTCATGGCGAATTGGAGGCTTCAAAACGTTTCTCCACAAACCAATGGGTGACATCACGATGGGTTCACACTTGGTCTCAAGTCACTGCTGACTTTTGAATAGTGCTGTAATCACTATGCGTGGATTGTATTGCTAAATATATTCACACACATATATATATATGAACATTTCACTGATACATTCAGTATCAACATTTTTGTGACATGCCAGGTACTTTAATTGACATTATGTCATTATTATGTTAATAGAAAACCTAATTCACATTGCTCTCTAAACGTATTTGCTGTTGCAGATCAGTTGTATATAAACTTAATTTCTAGGAGACAGGGCTGGTCAGAATGTATCTGAGGATCATAAATATTCCAAAAACCTTTCTTTAAAAATGTTTAGTTCTTTCCTTTTCCTTTTACCTATTTCACATTGTTCCATTTCTCCTGAATTTGGAACGGTTAGTTTCCCTTTAGGCCTCACAGAAGCCCTAAAATGTCTGTATTACAACAGAAAGGGCTCAATCCCTCATTGGGTTCCCATCCACCAACGCTGACAGTTGTGTTTAAGCAGTTATATTCTACAATGAATCAACTTAGAAATATGATATAGTTAAGACTAACATTTTGTTGTTATCAGTAAAACAAAAGTTTAACTGCTCTTTGTCTTCACAGCTCTGCTGCCTGATAGTCTGTTGTCTGTTGTTCACATCACTGATGACGGAATGAGTATCCTGGAACCGCCGGAGATTACAGACACTCATGTAGTTGTTAAAGTTCCTCACCTCTCTATCTTTGGCCTAGTCTGGGACATTGTTAAGAGGTTGTGGACGAAACCAGTAAGCGGCCAAGTTCTGCTTTTCCTCGGACCACCAAACCAAAATACACAAAGGCAAAAACTCAATGTGTTTCTCCTGCCGTTGAACATCAATCGGGATGAGGTAAAGCTATCTGTAATGAGATATAATAGGCCTGCTGATTGATAAGTCGGGCTATACTGAGGATTAAGACTCTAATTTAAATGTTCTGATGTCTGTTAAGGTCAGAAAACAACAGCGACCTTATGAAAACATCAAGGCCATGTCCACATGTAAACTCATCAAAGACCAAAGTTACACTCTTCACTGTCCTCAGGCCATCAAAATTCAGCCTAGAGTGAGTATTTTAAATAAAGGTCTTTGTGATGATTTCTCAAAGTGCTGTTGGTTATCTTCCGTTTACTTGGACACTATGAGATACAGACACTTTGGTTTTCAGAGCGCAGATTTTATCCTGGAGTTTGGACCAAATTACTACCCAGCGTTTGAGATCCGCCTGTCCACAAATGAAGAAGAAGTGACTTTAACGGTCCGAGACCAAACACAGATGGAGGTCTGGGAGCATGATGTTGATCTGATTGGTAAAGTCTTTATCCACCTGCAGCATTACTCCACCTGACAGTACAGCAGCCTCAGATGTCACAATGTGAAATAGAGCATATCACATGTCAAAACTATTTATGAGTACAAGTTTGTTGCTTAATTAACCAAGCCTTGGTAGCTCTCTTAAAAGAGATAAAGTTTGTAGCAAATTTCAAAAGGTTAGACAGCGAGTACCAGAGTACCTCCTCTCACATAAAACGCTGTCTGAGCAAAATATATTTTACAGATTTAGTCTTTACCATTGCCACTTGAAGCTGCTGGTAGATTTGCTGCAGCTCTGCAGTCTCATGATATATTTGCAGAGAGGGTGAGGGACAAGTCCACTTAACCATTTAAAGGTCTAAAGGAGGTTCTATTGGCAAAAATGGAATATAATATTCACAGATATGTTTTTATTTGTGTATAATCAACTGAAAATAAGAATCGCTGTGTACAGAAGGTCCTCTTCTAGTCTACCATGTTAAACCACAATGTTTCTACGGACAAAGGAAACACTGGCTGTAGATAGGGCTGTTCGTGTTTTTTGGCAAGTTTCGTGGCCACCATAGTTTCTCCCTACTGCATGGAAAGGGAGGGTGAAGTAAGTGAGTTGCAATCTGCAATTACACCACCAGATTCCACTAAATCCTACACACTGGATCTTTAAAGACAGGTTTTACATAATAAAAATCAATTAAATTTGCAAACGCTTAATTAATCTTAATCTTGTAATTATCTAAATTGCAGCAATGATGGTACCTGATTTGCATTTCAAGGCTTGATTATATAGACACTCTATGGATTTAACTACATACTGGTTGGCAAGGGTTCAGGTTGTCAAACCACAGGACATATATAAGAAAATCATTGAATCTTCAAACATCAAGGCACAATCAAATGTCAAGAATTTTACGGTCATCTTAAACAGCTAAGATCATCCTTAATCTTTTTAGCATGAGTTAACTGAGAATCTGTGCCTAAATACTTCCGCTCTATTACATAATCAGTTAGCTCTTTCTCTTTCCCCTCCACACTCTCTCCTGTTTCCTCTCTGCATGTTTGTGAAGCTTCAGGATAAGTGTGATTTTTTTTCAGTTTGCATCGGGTGAATTTGTGTTTAATTTACATAAACGTTGACACTGTCTGTAAAATTCACTTTGTGTTGTTTCTGAACACACACTCAGAGATGTGCTACTGAACTGTTTTTGTTCTGGTCATCCCTTAGATCCGGCTCTACGTGAAGAAAATCCACAGAGGCCTCGCTCAGCACAGGGAAGGTTGTTATCAGTTCGCTCACAGTTTGTTAGTTCAGTGTCTGACTCTGTTCTAAACCAGCTGCTGGATAAACTTCTAGAACGGGGCATTATAAATCAAGAAGAAATGGAGTCGGCCAGAACCAGAACCAGGGCTGACAATGCGCGAGCTGTGATTGACATGGTACAAAACAAAGGAACAGAAGCCTGTTCCTCCCTGATTGAAGACTTGAGTATGTTTGATGCACAACTTTTCAGAACACTGAATTTGAACTGAAGTAGGAATGAGACTCAGCAAATGAAACAAAAGGAAATCGACAACCATAGATAGAAGTGGTATCCAGCATCTTTTTACTCACAGAAAACAGAAAGTTTGTTTTGCTTTGATTTATTGAAAGCATGAACAGATTTCCAAAAACTCCCAGAGAAGTTGAATCTTTAATGTCCAGGTTTATTGAGACTACTGGCACCTTTAATTATCAATTCATTAATTTTGTATGATTAAACTTGAACTTTTATTATGGCGCTCACTTCCTATGACCGTAACCTGAGTCACCCTGATGGCTCGTTGACCAGGACAAGAAAACTTCACATTGTTCATCTTTTCTTCCAGACCTCGATGTATCCTGACCAACAGCTGGGAGTCTCATGAAATGAATATATTTCAAATGAGCCTCTTTGATTGTGTTACCTGGCTTACTTTGTGATGTTTTGTGGGTAAAGTAGTTTTGGGCGGGTTGTCATAATCTTAGTCTCCTTTTTGTATCATCCAAGAAAAAGTTTAATAAAATTCTAATAAATCAGTTCTTCCTCTCGTCTAAATGATATTAAAGACTGGCCAAACCAGATGTTAGTTCACTTTATAATAGTTGAGCTGAAACTTGTTTGCCTCTTCCAATCACTATTCTGTCAAAGCTGTTCATGTTATTTTATGACTTTTATTGTTTTATTTTAGTGTCATGATTGTAACCATTGTTTTGGGTTAAATATACTGATGAAACAAAGGACAGTATATATATATATATACCCAAAGATCATAATAATAATAATAATTAGAAGAAGAAGAAGAATAAAAGCCACATTGCAAGCACATATAACATTTCATACAATTCTACCGTTAATAAATAATAGTAAGTTACAGCAGACAGGACAGATTCAGGTCAGAAGTCTGTACTGTTGATTTGATTCCAATAATAGTAACAATAATGACATATTTATTATTATCATTATCATTATCATTGCTTTTGATACGAGGCAGCAGTCAGTGCTGTAGATACAGGGCAGAGGTCGTCTACTAATAGTGTGGTCCTGCAAGTACCCAATAAGGCATATGGCATAACAGGACGTAAGAACATAGTAAAATATACCAAAGGTAGCTGTTAATACTGCCCGCTCCTCTGTGATATTAATATTTACCTTTGCTTTATTCTTCGTTTAATCAAACCACAAACAATCTCTTCCCCATTTTAAATTAGCCTTACAATAATCCTGGAGAACATTCCATCAAGTGTAACACATAATACTGGTTCACATTAGTGAACAGTAACTCTGACCGTAATGTTGTGATCAGCCTGCACAGCGCTGTGTCGGAGCTTGTTGAGATCAATACAGTCATATGATATAGAGTATGTACGTATGTTTGAATATACTCCAGTTCAAACACATGGCATACTTATACTTTGTATGTAGCACGCAGTATGTGGTACACTGAGTATGTAGTACACAGTATGTGGTACATACTGATTGAGTATATAGTATGCAGTATGTTACAATGTGATTTCGGACAGACCTCCCATCTCTGTAGTGACTGTTTGTTGCTAACTTCCTGAAGGGGATGAACTGAAATGGGCCAAACTTTAAAGACACAGTGACATCTAGTGGATTCTTTTAGCATAACAGACATAAACTGAGTGGTAGAGATAACTCAATCAGTTTGAGTTATAATAAGTTCAATACATTTTTCAAAAACATATAGTGATTTAAAACGTGCTGTAACAGTTGAGCAGTGCATTAAATTAAATATTTTCAAACATCTGTTTTGTCTTGCAGCTTCAGCTCCACAGTCATCTCTATCCAAACAGACTCTGCTGCTGACTGACAGCAGCAACTGTGTGTGTGTGTGTGTGTGTGTGTGTGTGTGTGTGTGTGTGTGTGTGTTGGTCAGAGGTGAGATCTAGTTGTCTGTCAGTGTTCGTCCTCAAATAGAGTTTCCTGCTCCTCTTTCTCTGTGAACACAAACTCAATCGTTGCCTCTCTCCTGCACTAACAGTGAGTCAATCAGTTACACATTAAATTAATTAATAAACTGATCAGTCAGGAAACAGGTCAGGTGACTCAACAACATCCATGTTTATGAGGATTTTTACTTGGACGGGGACATGTCAGCAACTCTACAACTCAATAAAGACATTTTATGAGGTAGGAAATCCATTTAATGCATTTGTCTTAAAGCTTCTATAATCAATGTTTTTATAATAATGTATAAAATGTGACAGTGTGTTGGGTGACTCTGGTAGTGAATTATCAGCAGAAACCCACCAGTACTGAGTGGCAGCTCTTCTGATTTTTGTCCACATTTCAATATCAATTCAATTCAATTTCTATAGCGCTAATTCATAAAAGAAGTTATCTCAGGACACTTTTCAAAATAGATCAGGTGTAGACCGTACTCCTTATAACATTATTTACAGATTTCCAACAGGCCAGAAAAACCTTCCTTTTAAGAAGTAGAAACCTCAGACAGACCCCGGCTCTAGGTGAGTGACCGTCTGCCTCTGAGTACCCTTACTTCCTATTGAGACCTCTGGTAAGAATGGTGGTTCCCACCATTGAGGTAACCTGTATTTTTTCCAAGAGGTATACAATAAAAGTTAAAGGAAAGTCAAATTGTTGGTATTTCTAAAATCTTGGGTACAGCAATTATTCAACACAGTCATATTTGTACTTGCACAATTATAAGTGTAACATGTAGAAACATAATTTAAAATTAGAATTAACCATTTGGCTGAATCAACAACTGTCACTACTCATTACTCTGCTGCTGCTTCCACACAGCCAGCTGGGCACTGTTGTCAATTAAACCCTATGCCAGTTCACTGAATCCAATTACATGACCTTCAGTTATATTAATAACATAATTTAATTTAGGCTTAGCCTATTTTAAAGGTCCAGTGTGTAAAATTGAGGAGGATCTATTGTCAGAAATGTAATGCAATATTCATAGCATATACCATACCAGAAGAAATAAAAATGTCTTCTACCTGTTACATTCATGTTATGTTTTCAGTCTGTACAGAATTGTAATTTACTAAATAAACAAAAATTATGAATACATAATAAACTCATGTAGCTTTAACCAAATTCGAAATATAATGTATGATGAATGGGATGATCATGTTGCTCTGTAACTGCTGGATGTGCAAATTAGCAGCTGTTAAGTTAAACATTTCAACTTGAAAGGTGATGATTGTTGTGTGTTGTGAGTGGACAGAAACAGTCAGCTATCAGCCAACTGTAACACTTTCATTTAGTTCATTTTATTTCGTCGTATTCAGACTTGAATTGTGTTCTTGATCTTTGATGTTACATTGTCAAATTTGTGTCTGACTGTAAAAGAGGCAGAGAGATTCAAACGTCTTCATTTTAAACCTGCAGGAGTTCACCTGAATCAAAGATAACAAACTCAGAGTGTGGACACCTGGAAAACATCTGGAGAACATCTGAACAATAGAATCTGTCTGTAGAACAACATCTGGACAGACGATTAGCATGTGGAACGTAGATCTGGGCATCCAAACAATAAAATAATGTCTGGATATCAGAATCGCATCAGACAGTAGAATTGAGACAGTTGCATTACTTTGGTCATCTGTTCTTGATTTGGAGCAACAAAGAAACTGGAAGAAGAGGAGGAGAGGGCAACTGAGGAGGGTCTGCTGGGAGGAGGAGGAGTAGGAGGAGGAGGAAGAACACAGGAGACACAGGAGGCAGCAGAAGGAGGAAGGGATGGGAGGAACAGTGTGTAAGGAGGAAGTGAATGAGGAAAAGAAAAGGAGCGTAGGGAGGGAGGACAGTCTGACGTCAGCAGACAGAATCCGTCGGTTCACCGTCAAACAGTTTGGATATAATGTTCTGAGTCTGGCTCGCCGAGGACTTAAGGTAGGACAGTGAATGCATCAGGAGATGGCGAGTGCTTGCTGCTAACGCTAACTCCATTGTTTCAAGTGTAAACAAGATGGCCGCCACTCTTTTAGGTATCTGTAACGTACAATTCATGCCAATGGATTGGTAGACCTAGCACTCACTTCTGAGTAGATGGACAGCCAGAGATGTGAAGGACGTAGCTCCTTGCTCATTGTGTTATCATATGCAAGGGGAACGTGACGATATATTGTGAGACAGATTAGATTAGATGTGATTAGATGTTCTTTATTGTTGTTTATTGAACAGACAGATTTATTGTTCTTTATTGAACAGACAACCAATAAATAAATCAAAAATCACATAATTCTAAAAGACAAGATTGAAGTCCTCCCCACTAGCACCAGTAGCTGTATCAACATGCAGTTTTGACAAATACATGCATATCACGACCTTGGACAGTACCGTATTTGAGTTGACTGTGTCAGTGCTGTAGTGGTGCCTGGAGAAGTGGGTAAACTCTTAATTTATGGACCAAATTTTAGTTTAAAGCGATCTGTCAAGCAAAGGACCAACACCCTATGTTATAATGTTGTAATAAAGAGACATGTGAGAATACTCTATGCCAGTAGAGTTTGCACATCGTCACTGAACCGCTGCTGTTTGACTTCTGGCAGTAAAGGCTGTGTTTTTTTATCCATCATCTAATAAAAATTGTTACGCGCAGAAACCTCGTGGTCCTCTTACTAAAAGTAGAAAATAAAATGGGAATATTGGGTCCAACGTGTCAAGAACAAGGAAAGTTTGACCTGATGGTAAAAAAAATATTATATTGTGATTATTTAGACAGATATTGTGATATAATATGGGGGGTGTCATCTTCCTTATTAGCAAAATGACTTAAGAGAACCCTAACCTCATCAAGGCCATTTACATAATCATTAGGCTGGATGATACATTACATATAAGTAGGCTATATTATTATTTGAACTGTACAATCAAATAATGATGTCAATGTAATTATGAAGTGTTATTTAAATAGGAAACTCAAAATTGCTTAACAGTAATACAATATACAATCTTTTAGTGAAAATTGTGTGTTTGATAGGAGAATATTTGTAAATGTTGCAAGTTCTCCTCAATCACAAGCCAAGCCACTGAAGAACGAAGATGTTCTTACGTGTGGTTCTTGCATAGATAGATAGATAGATAGATAGATAGATAGATAGATAGATAGATAGATAGATAGATAGATACTCTATTTATCCCTAGGGAAATTCAAGGGACGCATGAGGCCTATTGAAAAAGATTCCCTTTTGTCTCAGACAAAAATCTACAAAATATATTTCTCTACATCTCCGAGGTAGGGTATACATCTGTTCTTTGTGAAAGTCAAACTGATGTCTGAATCTTCTCATGATCTTTCCATTCCCACTGCCTCTTTTGCTTGCTCTTCCTTTTCCTGCAGGAGGTCCCAGATGAATTGTGGGAGCTTTTGGAGTTGGAGAAGCTGAATTTGTCTCTCAACAGTCTGAAGGTTCTTCCTCCTCAGCTGGCTCTGCTCTCCAACCTCGTAGTCCTCAACCTGTGGGGCAACCAAGTAAAACATTGGTTACCTAATTTTCTGTACTCCTCCGGAGTATCTGCACCATCAGTCACACAAAACACAACCAGGAAGGAAATTCATATATGAATGGCAACAAAATATACAAAGTAAAAGAAATTATAGAAACCCATCAAAAGGAAGAAATTAATGTAAAATGATCAATGGTGAACAGGTTATGTAAGTCGCCCATTTTATATTGAAACAAACAGAGTTACTGTGGCTGGAAATCTTTTCAACATCTTTACAAAGTCCCTGGGTTTGTTATCTTTATTTGTTATTTTTTCCACAGAAAGAACACTTAATTGTCTTCTGCAGCACTGGTAGAGTTGGAAAATATCTTCCTTTTCTCACTACATTATGGAAGGTGGCACAATGAATGTGTTGTCCCCCTGTCCTCCTTACATTTAATACAATTCCACTAATACATGTTTCCTAATGCCTCTTTATTATACAGAGTAAAGTATAGACCTGCTATGAAAAGTGTCACATTTCACCTTGTACCTTCTCCTAATTGCATATTGTACTTGGCCATATTGCGTTTTTTTTAATATCTTAGTAATCCTGCTCAGGGAGCCAATGTCTACATCTACCAGGATGCATTGCGAGCACCCAACCCCTCCAACAAAAACTGCACATGCTGAAATTCCTTGATATAGGAAGATGTAGTTTTACTCATTTAAATCTTTTATTATCCCATATAAATTTACCTACATAGTTATGCAGAATGTTTCATTGGGAGATCTGTTGGCAACGAATGAATGGGACACAATATCCTCGGTAATACATTCATTTTAATTAATGGAAAGCTTCCCATCACAGAAAGACGAAGCACCTCTTTCAAGTCATTTTTGATCATTGTTATAATTGGCTCTATATTATCTTTTGTGAATTGCTTCAGCTCATGTGGGATAAAAATACCAAGGTATTTGATACCATTGATCTGAAATGGAATGGTTTGATTACTGCCCAATGGTATGGCCACTGACTCCCCAAAATTATTGTTATAACCTGAAAAATTACTACATAGATTAATAAGCTCAAGAAGTTCTAGCAAGTTTGGTAGAGAACAACAAGACATCATCTGCATACAAGACTTTTGTGCGTACCTTTCCGTAGTTTTTATACCAGTTATTTTTTCTTCACAACTAATAGTTTCTGCCAGGGGTTCCATAACAAGAGCAAACAACAGCAGTGATAGGGGGCACCCTTGTCTTGTATTTCTGTTTTCAGTTAAAACAGATGAGTGTACCATTCCTTAAAATTGCAGATTTGGGGCCAGTTTAAAGTTACCAAATTAATAAATGTTTCAGGAAAAGAAGAATCTGTGTAGAACATTGAAAAGATACATCCATTCAATTGAAAGCTTTCTCTCTATCTAAGCTTACTTTATATGTACCTTAATACACTTCCACTGATTATATACTGTCAATGGTTCTTCCTCGACAACAAGTATGTCACTGTACACATGAAGAGTCCCTACTACAGTGACCCCACTTTCCTGGTTGCTTATCTGATAAAGGCAATAAAACCAAAGACAATTATCTAAAAAAATTACATACATTGATGGAAACACGACAAATGTGCCCATGAGCAAGGCACTGACCCCCCTCCCTCCTCCTCCTCCCCGAGCAGCTGCTCTGTCTCCTGGATAAATAAAGGTTATAATCCCCCCTCTAATCCACCAGGATCCAGTTTCTGTCCTCTCTTCACCTTCCTCCTCACTCCTTCAACCTTCACTTCAACTGAGAAACAACACTAACAGTGTAAAATGCTGCCAGCGTCCCCTACAGGCCACAGGCTTCCTTACAGCATAATACCATTTATTTTTAAACAGTTACAAAAGGCGTTAATATTAAATTATTACAAACTTAAAACATATTTCACACAATCATCTGTAGACCTTATCTTTCTGATAATATGTAAGAGATGTGTCATGTCATACCTCTAATGAAGCACATGTTCTTTGTTGTGACATTAGCATAATATATTGTGATGTTGTTGTTGTTGTTGTTTGTTGTTGTGTGCAGCTCAGCAGCCTGCCAGCAGAGATTGGACAGCTGAGGAGACTCCGAGTTTTATTTGCCTACAGAAACAGACTGACTGAAGTTCCCGAAGAGCTGGGAGCCTGTACACAACTGGAGGTACTGCAAAAACTGTTGAAAGTACTTCTACTACATAATTTCCTTCTTTATTGTATTTTGTGTATATATGTTTTATATTAAAACATTTTTTTTATTGTATTTTATTCTTTCTCTACTCTTTGCACTACATTCCCCTGTGCTGCTGTGCCAAATTTTTATTTCCCTCACAGGATATTAATAAAGGAACATCTTATCTTATAAATACTACTGTTGCTTCTGCTGGTTCTGCCAAAGTGTTGGTATTTGAGGACCTGGGAATGGGACTAAGTTAGAGTCTAAAGCTTACAGGAAGGTTTATGATTAAAGTTTTATTTGTCATCAGGAGCTGCCCCCCATCATAATAATTTAGCTTCCCAATATATGACGCCCTAGTACCGTCTATGTCGGTACTCTTTCCACCACTGGCGCCCTCCACAGGAGATCATCCTATCTGACAGAAGCTGCTCGAATATAAGTAAACTTCTTCCATTCCTTTGTGTCTGACAGGTGCTCAGTTTGGCCAACAACCAGCTGTCCTTGCTGCCTGCCTCTCTTTCCAATCTGACCCGACTGAGGAAACTCAACCTCAGTCACAACCACATCGCTCATATCCCTGGCTGTGTTTACAACATGAAGACTCTGGTATGTTCACATCAGTCCAAAAGGCTGAATCCAAATCCACAATTCCAGTTCCAGCTTCACATTATGGGGCTTCATCCGACCATTTCTGGGAGTTTCTGAATCCGACATTCACACATACTGGTCGAAGCAGACGGCCACCTACCTAGAGTCGGGGTCTGTCCGAGGTTTCTGCCTCTTAAAATGAAGTTTTTCCTTGCCGCCGTCGCCAAGATCTTGCTCATGGTGGGAACTGCTGGGTCTCTGTAAATAATTTTGTAAGGAGTTCGGTCTAGACCTGCTCTATTTGAAAAGTGTCCTAAGATAACTTCTGTTATGAATTGGCGCTATACAAATAAAACTGAATTGAAAAATGTGATTGAACCTGGAGGTCTGAAAGCAGCTTGACACTATAAATGACTTCCACAAGACACTGATTGAACCCTGGCCCTTGGGGAGTAAACCACCAGATATCACTGGTGGTCACTATGAAAATGACCCATAATAATAAGAAATGATAATGATGATGATGATAATATGCATCACTTTTAATTTTGAAGACCTTTGCTTTTATATGTTTATTGGTAGAAGGTTGAGGTTTTTATTGTTTATTATCTTTGGTTTTAGTTCAGTGTCATTATGATCAGTAAAGTCTAGAATCTGTCACCACTAATGTCTCCTTCACTGAGTCACACCGTGAACATAATATATTTGACAGTATTTCAGGTTAATTCTTGATTATTTATTATTGATACTGTCAGTCAGTGATTATTGATACTGTCATTCACTTCATCTGTCCCTGCAGGTGTTCCTCCATCTGGCCTATAACCGTCTGGAGAACCTGGCAGAGAATATCCAGGCTCTGGTGGAGCTTAAGATCCTCATTGTGGAGGGAAACAGCCTCCACTCTCTGCCTAAGGCCCTCTGCTACCTCACCAGGTAACTCCACCTCACCAGGTAAACCACATCAACATACAATTAACCCCCTCAGCAGATAACCCCACCTCACTAGATGATCCTACCTTGGATGGGAGACCCACCTGACCAGGTAACTTCCATTACAAAGTAACCCACCTCTTGAGATATTGACTGCACTGTACAATACAAGGTAACTGCAGACACCCAGGAAGTAGCCTCACTCTAGCTCACATACCTGTCAGGTAGAAACTCCAGCTGATTTCAGTTGGTTCGAGATTTTATTTAATTTGAGATTATTTGATTTTCTCCAGGTTGGAGTTACTGAATCTGGACTTTAATGACATTAAGGACGTCCCACAGGTAAAGTACTTGTGACACTCTGTTGGTAACTAATGATAATGATGATAATGATGATGATGATGTCTTCAGGAGATGCACCAGTTGTCTCGACTGGAGAAGTTGGCCTGTCATCCTCTAGATAAAGGACTCCACATCGTCCACAACCCGCTGCTCAAGCCTGTAAAGGAAGTGCTGGAGGGGGGGCTCACTGCCCTCTTCAACTACCTGAGAGCTGTGTAGAGTTGTGGGCGGGGCTTGTAAACTACCTGAGAGCTGTATAGAGGTGTGGGCGGGGCTTGTGAACTACCTGAGAGCTGTGTAGACGTGTGGGCGGGGCTTGTAAACTACTTGAGATCTGTTTCTGCATGTTTTCCAGAGACTTTTTATTTTATTTATAGTTATTGTCCTAAATAAATGCTTGAATAAAACAAGGAATTTCTTTCTTGAAGACTTGGAGCTGGTTTTCTGTTATGTTGACACAGGAAAGAAACACAAACTGCAGAGGGGTATTGCACAAAAGTAGAATAAAGAAATCCAGGATAATTGAGCAAGCGCGGCTTGTCCTATCCTGCTCGGTGCATCCTGGCTTAATGGTTGCACGTTTGCCGAGCCAGGATGAAAAGTCACGGCTATGTTAAGCCAGATGTAGATAGTTGGGATAAGTGCGTGTTCACGGCATACTGAAATAGACCTCGCGATCGCTCACAGAATTACCGATGGGAACATGGATAAGAGTCGTGCTTCATATTTCACGACCACTGAAAAACAGCTCCTAATGGAGTTCTATGAAGAGGTGAAAAATATAAGAAAAAAAGGCAATACCAATGCCATAATTAAAGAAAGAGAGAAAGCCTGGCAGACAGTAGTGGACCGGCTTAATGCTTAAGTAGTCCAAAACTGTACAATGAATAAACAGTGCTCCACTGGAACTGTCATAATTAGGCTACAATTAAAGGACTAAAGGAGTTACTTTGAGTCCACTAATCAACTGTTGTACACTTTGCTTTAAATGTGGCAAGTAGAGGTGCATGTTACTTAAATCTAGAGTATGATTAAGTGCAAACAATTCATAAAGAACAAACTTGTCTGGCCATAAAAAGACCTGGCAGCAAGTTACATTAAAAATGTTAAAAAAAAAAGTTAAATACAAGAACATTTTGCAGGCTGGTAAGTGACTATAAAGTAGATAACAGTGAACAAATGAGGTGAATAGATTAGGTGTCTGCTGACATGTTGAATGTCTGTATGATTGTAGCAGTTAAAAAAAAATGCCCATAGAACTGGCACAGGGGGCGGCCTACCAAGCCAGGATATGTGCGGCAAATGGTTCCTTTATTGAGGTTCTCTGCATCCCCAACAGAATAAAGGAAGCTCCCACTTGCAAAACATCTCAATGAAACACAGACCATCTGTGGTACAGTGAGAGCATGGCTTCCTGCCGTCTGGTGCTGTATTTTTGGACCCCTCAGCCTACATAAATATCTTAGTCCATCACCTGAGAATCTGTATCTCTCAATGAGATAGTCATCTCCAACGGCCAATGGGTCTGACCTGTCCCGGAAGACTCTTTCATGACTAAATGCTCGTCTGAGGATTAGGGCTTCCTCATCCAGTACATCCTCAAGAATCCCAAGAAAGGGTAAGCCATTATGAAGACGGAACAGGTGAATGGGAGTTGGATAGATAGATAGATAGATAGATAGATAGATAGATAGATAGATAGATAGATAGATAGATAGATAGATAGATAGATAGATAGATAGAAATAAATTCCTTTATTTGTCCCACAATGGGGAAATTCCAATGTAACAGCAGCAAAGTGGATAGAGAGAAAACAGTATAAATAAACAGTAAGAGTAGGGAAATAAGAAAAAACACTATGTACTAGATGTATATATACATATATATATACATATATATATGTATATATATATACTATATTGCCCTTGTCACAGATTTCATTGAAAACACCATTGCAACTTCATCAGCTGTGTTTTGTAATCTCAATTACTGCAATAAAACACATATTTATGAAACCTCTGACGGCATTTTGACAAGCAGTCTTCATTAGCATAGCAATATAACACTTGTCCTGAGTAATAATACTACCACTTGAATCAATATAAAAAGACTGTTGCAATTACAAACAGCCAACAGATTTAAATTAAATGAGTAATGACAATATATATGATATATTTTAATGCAGGATAATTAAAATGATGTAACATACTTAGAAAGACCATGGACATGCTGTAAAACACATTAATTCCTCACAGGATTGACGATGGAAATACAGGTGAATCACTAGGATTAATCTGGTCTGGAGCAGGCTAGCTGCAGAGAATAAATCACCATAGTAATAGGATAAATTTGACCTGCTTTCATGCAACCGACTTGAGGCTAAATTCAGCCAGGATAACTAACATATCCCGGCTTAATCCCTTATCTTGGTTTTGTGCAATACCCCTCTGTTGTTAAGTTGGAAGAAGAACATTGTTGTCTAAAACACTGATTCCCAACCTTGAGGTCAGGACGCCCACTAGGGGTCGCCAAAGCTTCACAGGGTGTCGCAAAGCCTTCTTGAGAATTAAGGCGTGTAAGAAAACATAAAACTATATACAGTAAGATAAGATAAGATAAGATATTCCTTTATTTTTCCCCCTTAGGAGAAATTCAGGTTGACCGAGCAGCAATAGGGCAAAGTAGTGCAAAAACAGAGAAAAAAGAATATCACAAATAAAAATATCACTAATATTATTAATATTAAAAGATATAAAACTATAAATGAAAGTATATACACTATGCATTGTTCAAGTAGGACATAGAGTGCAAAATATGAGCAGAAAATTAAACTTGACTAAAACTAAAAAACTAAAACTGAACTGTACAAGTGGAAATTAAATATAAATAGAGAAAAGGTTTGTGCGTTGTAGGTAGGAGTCTTTGTCTGCGGGGGTTGGAGGTTCTGGGTGCTGTGGCGTTGTGGAGTCTGATGGCTGATGGTACAAACGAGCCTACAAACCGCTTTGAGGCTCGGGGCTGGGTCAGTCTGTAGCTGAAAGTGCTCCTGAGCTGCCTCAGCTCAGTGTAGAGAGGATGAGAGGGGTTCCCTCTCATCCTCTTTTCAGTCACAGCCTTCACACTGTCCAGCTCCATCCCCACCAGCTTGCTAAGCTCCCAGTGCCGATACCTCCCCCCCAACAGACCACCACAAAGAAGAGGCCACTTCAGACTGGTAGAACATCCGTAGTAGCCGAGTGCGCACATTGAATGACTTGAGCCTCCTCAGAAAGAACAGCCCGCTCTGTCCTTTCCTGTAGAGGTCCTCAGTGTGATCCATCCAGTCCAGTTTACTGTTGAGTGTCACCCCCAGGAACTTGTACGTGTCCACGATCTCTACCTTCTCCCGCCTAATCTCAACTGGGGTGGGGGTCATCTTGCTCTGCCGGAAGTCCACCACCAGCTCTTTGGTTTTTCCTGTGTTGAGCTGTAGGTGGTTCCTGTCGCACCATCCAATGAAGTTCTCAATCAGGACTCTGTCACCTCCTCCTTATCATCTGAGATAGAGCCGACAATGGAGGAGTCATCAGAGAACTTCTGTAGGTGGCACACTCCAGAGTTGACGCAGAAGTCAGTGGTATAGAGGGTGAACAGGAATGGTGACAGTACAGTTCCTTGGGGTGTACCAGTGCTGCTCATTACCACATCTGACAAGCAGCTGTGCAGTCTGATATACTGTGGTCTGTCAATGAGGTAGTCAGTGATCCAGGCCATGAGGTCCTGATCCACCTGCATCACAGAGAGCTTTTCTGCCAGTCTGAGAGGCTGGATGGTGTCAAAGGCACTGGAAAAGTTGTATAACATGATCCTCACGGTGCTCTGTGACTTCTCCAGGTGGGTGTAAGCTCTGTGAAGCAGGTAGATGGTGACGTCGGCCTGGTATGCAAAATGCAGAGTGTCCAAGCAGTCGCGTACCAGGGGTCTGAGGTGCTGCAGAACCAGTCTCTCAAGGGTCTTCATAACCTATGACGTTAAGGCTACAGGCCTGAAGTCTTTGAGAGCACTGGGTCTTCCTTTTTTGGGAACAGGAACTAAGCAGGAAGTCTTCCAGATCTTTGGCACCTTCTTCAACCTGAGGGAGAGGTCAAACAGATGCTGGAACACTCCTGCCAGTTGCTCTGCGCACACCTTAAGGACTCTCGGGTTGACTTCATCAGGACCTCTGGCTTTGTTTATGCAGGTCTTGGTGAGCTGCCGTCTCACCTGGCATCTTGTGATGACCGGGTTGGTTGTGGCAGTGATTGGGGGGTGACAGTCCCCAGCTGTGAGTTGGGGGTACCTGAGGAGGTGGAGGGGGTTTGTAAGTCAAACCTATTGAAGAACAGGTTTATCTTGTTGGCACATCCCTTTATCCCTTCTACTGAACCTACTGACCCCCCCCCCCCACACACACACACCTCTGTCTATCTTGTTCTTGTAACAGTCTTTGGCCCTCCTCAACTCGCTCCTCAGCTCCCTCTGAATGTCTTTCTTGGCATCCTCATCTTCTGCCATGAAAGCCATCTTCTTTCTGTTCAACAGGACTTCGATGTCTCTGTTGATCCATGGCTTATTGTTGGGGAAACAGCGAATCCTCTTGGTGGGGATAACGCTGTCCTCACAGAACCTGATGTAGTCTGTGACACACTGGGTGAGACCCTCGATGTCGTCTCCGTGGTCTTCCTGGAACACTTCCCAGTCGGTCTGCAACGCTCCATCAAGGCCTCTTTTGCCTTCACCGACCACTGCTGCACAGTCCTGGTGGTGATGGACTGTCTCCTCCTAACAGCAGGCCTGTATGTGGGATTGAGATGTATCAGGCAGCGGTCAGATTTGCCAAGAGGGGGAGGGCAGTGGCGCTGCATGCCTCCTTTTCATTGGCATACAGCAGATCCAAGGTCTTTTCCCCTCTAGTGTTACAGGTGACGTACTGGGTAAAGTCTGTCAGGGTCTTTGAGATTTTGGCATGGTTAAAATCTCTGTTTATTATGATGAATGCTGGGATGACGTGTCTGCAGGTCTGCTACGGTGGAGTGGATGACGTCACATGCGTGCACCGCTACTGCCAATGGAGGAATGTAAACAATGACGACAATAGTGGCCGAAAACTCACGGGGCAGATAGTATGGCCTTAACCCGATGGCCAGCAGTTCAATGTCGGGCGTGCAGATTTCTGCCTTCTTGACAACATGTCCAGGGTACACCATTTAGAGTTAACAAAGACAGCAAGCCCTCCTCCTCCCTTTTTACCGCTCTGTTTCTTCCTGTCAGCCCGAACTAGTGAAAAGCCGGCTAGTTCCACTGAGCAGTCTGGTGTAACTCCCGATACTCTCGCTGTCCATTGACCAGGGCCAAGAGCTCGTCCATCTTGTTGTTCAGCGACACGTTTCCCATGACAACCAAGGGAAGACATGGCTTGTATCTCCACCGCCTCTCTCCTCACCAATGTGCCTGCTCTGGTTCCTCTCCTTCGTCTCCTTAACTCCACCGGGATCTCCCTCGGGAATGCGACACGTAAATCCCGATACCGTAGGAGGTCTTCACGTGAATAACCTCTGGCGTTTTGTTGTGTGGTCACATTCATTCACATTGTTTATATTTAAAAAACTAAGTTCAACTACGGCTAAAAAAGTAAAAAATTAACTACCAACACTGACAGTCTATTTACAACAATAAACACAGTGCTATTTAAGAAGGAATAAAGAAGTAGTAAGATTTAAGGTGAAAAAATAAGAGGCGGAGCGGGAGCTGTTGCGTCGAGCTCCCACTCTTTATAGCGCTCTAGAATAGTAGGTCTATATCTCTGAATTTTGTTTCTTTCTTTGAATTAAAATGAGTGAAACTGTTATTTTTAAAGTGTATATTATGATTTAAGATGAGCATTGATAAGTCAGAACTTCTTTAAAGGAACATACATTTTCAAGCCATCATGTTAATTTTATTCAGTTAAAATGATACAAAGAGCAGCTGCAAGGCTACGTATGTTAATGATTTAAAAAAACATGTCCACAAATGTTTTTTCATACAGTGTAGTTTAATTAACCAAGAAAATTATTTATTCATGCTTTTCCTCTTCCTGTCACAAGTAATGGTAAATGGTAAATGGACTCATATGGTTCCTTTCTAGTCCTCCGACCACTCAAAGCGATTTTACACTGCATGTCACATTCACTCATTCACACTCGTTCATACTATCATACTACTGGTCACATCCCAACTGAGAATATGTCTAAATTCTTTGCTTGGATAGAATTGATTTGTGAATAAAATGATCCTCACCTGGAAAATGTCCTTTGTGTATGGTATTTGCTCAGCTTACTCTAACACAGAGTCTAAACTGTCTGACCTGGCTCAGTGTGTGAGGTAGGTGGTGTCGAGAATAATTAAGTTATCAATTACTATAATTTATTATAGCAATTACCAACATCATTATATCAGCAACAACTATACTACAGTTTTTCTCGATTGTTTACACACATTTTCTGAAAGCATGCCTCATACTCTCAGAACTCTACACACGAATCAAAAAACACACACACAATGGGTAAAACCCCTCAATTCTCCTGCAAAATGAAACTTTACATTCAAAACCATGTTATTTCTTCTCAAAATGGTATTTTGTTTTCAAATGACACACACAAACCATCATATGAATAAACATTTATAAGAACCAGTTGAACACTGATGTGCTCAATGTAAAACACTATGATGAATGGAAAACACTTCTTCTCCATTCATCATAATGACTTAGGCCTTTTTTTTGTTCAGTGTTACACTAACTACAGACAGTACATACATAAGTGTGTTGTAAAATATTTTAGAATATTGTTTTTATACTCAGAACACACAAATACACAGTAACAAATATATTTTATTTTTCCCACAAAAACAATATACACAGTGTACATCCCAACCAACACAAAGTTGCACATACAGTGGTCTACATACAAAACAACAGATGAATTTACTGTATACAGTTACAGTAAAAAAAAACAAAAAAAAAACATGCTGCATCCTCTCTTCTGTTTGGGTCTGGCCACAGCACCTCATCCACATCACAAGCAATGTTTTCCCTGGCCAAGCAGTGGGAGAAATATCGCCTAGCATGGCGAATCCAGCCATAAAGGCATCAACTGCTATATCTAACCCTAACCTGTTGCCCTTTTATGCTAAAGCTCTGATTGCTAATTGTAAAACTGTGTGACAGGTGTTTGCCCGTGTGATGAGTCAGTGTGCATGGTAGGGCAATTAACTTTAGAATTTTGAATGACAGTGTGTTCCTTGTGAAAACAAGATATTTTCGTCATGAAAATTGTGCCGAATGCAGAGAATTGTGTGTAGTGTTTTGAAAAAAGTGTGTTTAAGAACTGCAATTTGAGTGTAAAGCAGGAATTGTGCTTATAGTTTAGCAGAATTGGTTCAGAGGGTTGGTGCATGAGTTACATGTTGTGGTCATTGTGTCTCAAGTACCAGTATTTGTGTGTAAACAATTGAGAAAAACTGTAATAGAAATGACTGATGATGATCTCAACCAGGATCCATGAGAACCTGCGAGACGAGAAAGCACAAGAACTCCAGGGAAGAAGTGGGGTTAGTAACATGCATTAATGGGGGTATTGGAGTTAGTAGTAGTATTAGTATTAGTAGTATTAGTAGTATTATAAGTAGTCCAGGTCTCCATGTGTCTCCAAGGTGTGTTATTTGTGATGTATTTATTATATAATGTTATGTATACTGTATATACCAATATTATATATTGTATTCTAAATGAATGTGTATGTTCTCTGCTGTTCCTCAGTTGTTCCTGCAGGAGGTAGCACAGAGCAACAAATCCTCCCTGAATGAAGCACTTTGTCTCATCACTGCCACACAGAGCAGCTTTCATTGATCCACTGGTCAGTGTTTAAAGACTCAAACATCAGCAGGAGGATGAGGATCTTTATTCTTCAATAATCCACACACAGATCTTTAAGACACTGCAGATAAAGTTAATTTCACAGATATTGTTGAGTCCTGGTTACTGACAGTGATCACTGGTATCAACACTTCCATCTGCTGAGGTTATGGTTAGGATTCGAGGCTGCTGGTTGTTTCGTATCTGGAGTCACTGAAGGACCTGAAGGTTCCTCACACAGACAACAACCACTAACCCAGTGAAACAAGAAGTCTTGCAATAAGGTAACTTTATATTCAGGACCACCAGTGGGGGGCTCCAGAGCTTTGATTTAGAGATGTGCAAGAAAACTTTTTATTATTATTATTATTGTTATTGTTATTGTTATTGATCACAGTGTACAGTGCCAGAGTTTCAGTCTCTGATCAACAGCCTCGTCCTGCATCAGAACATAAACAGCTGATCGATCAATAATCAGTAAATCTGTCAGAAAGAAGAATATTAAGTCTGATTGTTAAAATGATAAAAATACAGAATACAGAGAATGGATCAATATATCAGGAAAACTCATCTCTAATCAATATTCACAGGAAATAATCAAACTTCCTGCAGTGATTGAGTTCACTGTTTGTGTTCATTGATCAGTTGATCAGCTGTTATTGATACTGATCAATATGAAGTATCCAGTCTGTTTATTGATGATAGAGAACATCAGTGAGTGTGTTGTTATCGTGAGGAACCAGCAGGTGGCAGCATCGCTGGCTCTGCTCACTGTCTGAACACCTGAAGCTGAAATCTTTACCTGTTGTTGTTGTTGTTGTTGTTGTTATATTGTTTCTTCCATCTGTTGTTTGCTGTTCATTTACAGTTTCTCTTCGTGTCTCTGGTGTTTGGTTGTGTTCGTTCAAGCTGCCGGTGTAAAGACGGGAGAGAAAGGTCCAATCAAAACATACTTTACATACACATAAATCTATCAATGATCAATAAATACACAATTAGAAGATTCGTTAAAAAATGAAATCAATGCAATGAAAGTATATGCTCAAATATACTTCTTTTTTCATTGTTTGTTTTCATATTATTACTATTATTATTATTATTATTATTATTATTGTTATTGTTATTGGCATTTATTGTTTCTAACATTAAGGCCATTAGAATACAAAAAACAACAAATAAAGATTCATAAACAATAATAATTATTCTCTCAGTTCAGTTCAAACTTTACTGAAAGTTTCCAAATTTTACAACAAGAATCTGTCTCTCTCTCTCTCAGGCTGTCTCTCTCTCTCAGGCTGTCTCTCTCTCTCTGTCTGTCTCTCTCTCTCTCAGGCTGTCTCTCTCTCTCTCTGTCTGTCTCTCTCTCTCTCAGGCTGTCTCTCTCTCTCTCAGGCTGTCTCTCTCTCTCGTGCCCCCCTAATGTCTCTCACCCCCCGTGACGTCAGCGGTGCTCGGTGAACGGAGCCAGTCTCTCTCTCTCTCTCTTTCTCTCTCTCTATCTCTTTCTCTCTCCGGTCTGAAACGGAGGAAAAAGAACCGGAGAGGAACCGGAGAGACAGACTGACACCGCAACCCGTCTGTCTGTCTGTGTGTGTGTGTCTGTCTGTGTGTGTGTGTGTATGTGTGTGTGTGAGAGAGAGCGGCAGACAGGAACAGAAGAAGAAAAGAAGCGGAGGAAGAAGAGTTGTCGGTAGTTTTCCCTCCTCGCGCTCCGGAGGGTCTCGGGGAACATGGAGCGGACCGGAACTTTCCTGCTCTCCGCGGCTCTCGCGCTGCTTTCTCTGGGACTAACGGGCGCGCGGGCGGACACCTTCAAAGGTAAGAGGAGACTCCAGGGACCGGGTCTCTGAGGGGTGAGGGGGGTCCGGGTCTCTCGGGGCCCGGGGGGAGGAAGGGGGAACATGGGAGTTGTTTCTGTGTGTCGGTATCCAAGTTTCCAGCTGGAAAATCTCCTCCTCCTCTTCCTCCTCCTCTTCTTCCTCCTCTCCTTCTTTCTCTTCTCTTTCTCTCCTTCAACTTTCAGCTGATCTCAGACCAGGAAAACTTTCATAAAACACAATCTGCGTCAGAACCGAAGACAAAGCAGAAATACTGCAAACAAATACTGTAAACAAATACTGTAAATACTGCAAACAAATACTGCAAATACTGTAAACAAATACTGTAAACAAATACTGTAAATACTGCAAACAAATACTGCAAACAAATACTGCAAATACTGTAAATACTGCAAACAAATACTGCAAATACTGTAAACAAATACTGTAAATACTGCAAACAAATACTGCAAATACTGCAAACAAATACTGTAAATACTGCAAACAAATACTGTAAATACTGCAAACAAATACTGCAAATACTGCAAACAAATACTGTAAATACTGCAAACAAATACTGCAAATACTGTAAACAAATACTGTAAACAAATACTGTAAATACTGCAAACAAATACTGCAAATACTGCAAACAAATACTGCAAATACTGTAAATACTGTAAACAAATACTGTAAATACTGCAAACAAATACTGCAAATACTGTAAACAAATACTGTAAACAAATACTGTAAATACTGCAAACAAATACTGCAAATACTGTAAACAAATACTGTAAACAAATACTGTAAATACTGCAAACAAATACTGCAAATACTGCAAATACTGCAAACAAATACTGTAAATACTGCAAACAAATACTGCAAATACTGTAAACAAATACTGTAAACAAATACTGTAAATACTGCAAACAAATACTGCAAATACTGTAAACAAATACTGTAAATACTGCAAACAAATACTGTAAATACTGCAAACAAATACTGTAAATACTGCAAACAAATACTGCAAACAAATACTGTAAACAAATACTGCAAATACTGTCAACAAATACTGTAAATAAATGGTATAAACAATAAGATATAATAATCATAAAGGAACTGCTGTAAAGAAACTGAAGCAGCATTTGGACATCACACAGTCTGGTTGTTCAATAACTTCCAACTTACTGAAACTGATCCTGGCTGATCGATACGATGGATGATTGATAATGTTAACAGTTACTGACTAATTAACTGGCTACAAACTGGCTCTCTTCCTCACTTTCATTCCTCTCCTGTCGCTGCCTGAACCCGCCGGGTCTTCATCCCCAGAGTCAGAGTCCTGGTCGGAGCCGCTGGACATCAGCCGGCCTCAGTTGGTCCGCCCCGCTTCGGTTCTGCGGCTCATTCGGGCCCTGCTCCGGTTCCGTGGCTCATTCGGGCCACGCTCCGGTTTTCGATTTACCGATCAATACATAGATATTGATTAACTAGAATGAGGTTAGAGGCGTTCATTGTCCCCTTCAGACAGTGGGAACTCTTTGAACTGGCGCTTTGGTTCTGCTGACTGCTGGTTCCTGCGTCCGGATGATGATGATGAAGATGATGGTCAGTCGGCTGTTGTCCCCCCCCAGAGATGAAGCTAATTGTCTGTATAGATTGTCAGTATGATCTGTAATGGGTGGTGCCCTCACTGAACTGGGGTGGACAAAATAAGAGAAACAGCAGTTGAGCGAGGCGTCCCTGATAAACAGTCGAGGATGAGTTCACTGAACTCCTGTTTGTGACGATTATTAACAGACTGGTTCCACTGTAACTAAACTATTGATCAATCAATCAGTGGATATAGATCTAGGCTCTCAGTGAGTGTCTGCGGCCTTGGGGTGTGTTGGATTCCTCCTCCTGTCCATCCCTCTCTGCTGCACATATGGTGGGCTGTGTGTGTGTGTGTGTGTGTGTGTGTGTGTGTGTGTGTGTGTGTGTGTGGGTGAAGCAGCAGAGAATGAAATTAAACTCTCTGCGGCCCAGGTCCAAGATGGCCGCCACGCCCTGATAACCGTGGCAATGGAGCGTAGCTAATGAGCGTCGTCGGGGGCAACGGCAGTTTGTTGGTCAGTTTCCTGGCTCGGATGTTATTTATTGTTTTTACCTTCAACCATTAGCGTCGGTGGTCGCTGAGCTTCAGGCAACAACACCTCCTGAACTATCTATTAATTATTAATGAAAAAGTTTCACATTTATTGATAATCACAATAATTAATAAGGTATATAAATAATTCCATCTTGCTCGAGGTGTCCTGTGTTCATTACTTGAAAAATTGTATGAAGTGTTTGATAAAACATAACTTTACCGCAGCTTTTTTGTCCCTTTGCGGTGGTTTTCTGTCTCTGGTTTAAACATGATAAAATAAACATAACAATTAACATGTTTATGTTAATTGTTAGGGATAAAATAAAATAGCAGAAGACTCAAACCTGAGAGCTGGAGTAAAGAGAGGTGTCTGTAATTACAGCACTAGGCCGACTGTTAACTCAGCAACACACACACACACACACACACACACACACACACACACACACACACTCCCAGATGACCCGGTGTGTCCAGGTTCAGGACTGTCGCTGATTCAGGACTTTACCTTTTCCTCCTGAGTGTGAGTGTGTTCAGGTGCAGTCAGCTCTTTGTTCTGTCTCGTCAGGGTTTTAATGAAACTCACAGATTAAAGACAGTGTGTGTGTGTGTGTGTGTGTGTGTGTGTGTGTGTGTGTGTTGAGGGTCCTCAGTGAGTTCATTATCTCCCCTCAAACCTCTGAGACTTCCTTCCTCTATTTCCTTCCTCTCTTTCTTGTCCTGTTTCTTTGTCCGGTCTCATTCAGACCGACAGATCCGTTTCAACGAGTCGACGAGTCGTTGAAGAGCTGCAGTCGAAGGTTGAACGATGGAAATCATTTAAAGTTACAGCTCTTCTCTGTAACAATAATCTGTTAGTTTACGGTTTATTTTACAGATTTGTTTTGTATTTGTTAAATACATAGAAATATTAATAAAATCACAAAAAATTTCTTGTGAATTTAATGTAAAATACAAAGAAAAATATAAACCTGTAACTGTAAATAATCATAAAATTACTGATTATTTAAGGAAGATAATGACTGTTATTACAGTTCTATAAATTTTAACATTCACATTAAAATAATAACAATCCAATAATAACAGCACTCTGCTGTAAATGTAACCTGATTATTTGTATTATAGCAGAGTTCACCTGGATTTATAGATCATTGTTTTACACTGTAAATATTTTTAATTAAACATTAAAAAGATTTAATGTAAAATTAAAGCTAAAAACTGTATTTAATTATAGAGATTTACTGTACTTTTATGAGTTGGTTTTTTTTTGGGGTTATTTTACTGTGTTTTTTGCTGCTCCAGCAGCAGTTTGGTGAAATTCTGCATATGAGAGTAACTTAAATTAACTGAATGAAATTAGTACAATTAACTTAATTTTACAGATCTAAATTGTTTGAGTTAATGAACCTAAACGGTTAAAGTTGATTGAGTTGATGTAACTCATCGAGTTTTACAGTGCAGAAACAGACGAGTCAGAATCAGGTCTCCTGTAGTTTGAATGTATGACTCATAAAACTGTGTGTGTGTGTGTGTGTGTGTGTGTGAAGGCGATCATATGACTTCTTGTCCGTCGTTCTCAGGCTGCTTCTTAAGCCAATTTAGCTGCTGCGCACACACACAGTAACCTTTAACAGTGTTAGTGTTCTCAGCAGTGTGTGGTCACATTGATCCTGTCAGCTCCTGGTGTGTGTGTGTGTGTGTGTGTGTGTGAAGAAAGAAAGTAATAAGAGTGAATAGTGTTTGCTGCATCCATACGTCTGCACTGTGTGTAATGTATAATGAACAGTCTCGCTGACGTCCCCCTCCGGTTCCTGAAGGACCGTTGTGAAGCTCAGTGTGTTCGGCCGTCCCCATCTTGGATTTTCTCAGGGGGTTTCTACGAGGGTCAATCATGGTCCCACTCGGCGAGGTTATTGTCAATCTCTTACGTGTTATCTGTGCTTGCTTTTTTGGATTTTCTGTGTAGTGAACTTAGTAAAAGGAACTGATTTATCCGCTGAACCCCCGCGTGCCCAGGTGTGTAGTCTACCAGTTATAGTGTTTGTCATCCATTATGCTGATGATACTCTGCTGTTCAGTTACAGTACAGCTGCTGTCATCGGATGTCACAGATGGTTACACTGTGTAATCAAAAGTCTGTAGTCTTGGTGACGTCCCCCATAGGTTTGTGAGGAGCTGTTCTTGGCATGAAACCAAGTCAGAAATTGTTTTATTTGGTCCCCTGAATCCATCGAGGTGACAACCTGTCCACCCTTGTTAAACCTCACGTCCTTGCTGTAATATTTGATTCCGCCTTTAAAGCAAGTTCATGTTGTCCACACCTTTAAATCCTCCCACGTAGACCTAGGCTCTCCTGTTTGTCTATAAATCCCTTCCTGGCCCGCCCCTCCTATGTCGCAGACCTCCTGATCCCTTATTCTGCATTCAGGTTGCTGATTGGTCCAGAAATGACAAACTGTAACTTTAATTTTTATCTTTGTTATCAACCTGTGTTAATATACCAGCATGTTTGTGTGTTTAATGAGTTCTTTAAGTTTAAGAGCTGCTGAACAGGCAGGAAGCATCTTAACACAGATTATACTGATAACACACACACACACACACACACACACTAATCGCTGTCTTCAAGTCATCACACACACACATCTTCAAACAATAATCCTATGAATATGATCAGGGATTTGGGCCACAACACTAATCAGACTGACATCTCTGGACAGGGATTACACACACACACACACACACACACACACACTCACTCAGCAGTGTGTTGTAATCTCTTGAAGACACACCGACTGTTTGTATAATCTGATGTCAGAGAGATAATTTCATTAATCTAAAGCGAAAATACAACAACCTGTCTGCTGTCAGGG